AGTGCCAGCGGTGGCCCAGCCCGACCCCTCTCAACACACACCTCAGGTTCTCAAACTCCTCGTCCTTCTCCGCCAGCTTCCTGTCCACATCAGCCTTGATCTGGTTCAGCTCCAGCTGGATGCGCAGAGTCTTGCTCTCCTCATGCTCCAGGGCCCCCTATAGAGACAGCAGCAGCCATGAGAAGGTGGCCCCTGGGGTGATCCATCAGCCACGCACCCCAGCCTGGCCTTGCCCCAACCCCAGAGCTATGGGGAGCAGGGGGAGACACCCCAGTGCCTTACTGTGGCTGCACGACCCCTGCAGCCCATGATCTTAGGGCTTGCAGCCCAGCACTGTCACCATGGTGTGAGCTGCTCCTCTTGAGGGCAACAGGGAAACATCAGTGGGAAACAAGGACCCACCTCAGCCTCCTCTAACGCTGCCTGGATATCGCTCTTCTCACTCTCCAGGGCTTTCTTCAGCTTCTCCAGCTCATGGATGGTTTTCCCGCTCATGCTGATCTGGTCGGTCAGATCAGCAATTTCCTCTGGCAGGGACAGAAGGGTGTTTGGTCAGGAAAGAGCGTGTGACATCCCCATCCCCCTGCCCACACTGGCTGATCTCCCCCAGCCCTTAGAGAGCAGCTGAGGTTGTGCTTGGGGCCATTTCTGCAGCCTGGGTGAAGGAGCGGGCATGGGAGAGGCATTAGGGACACATGGAGACCTGCTTGGCCAAAAGCAACACCCCCCAGCCAGTGTCATGGCTCTGTCTGCAGCAAGTCATGCACCATTTGTTAATAAGGGCCAAGTGGCACTGCCTGCCTGCCGACAATGGGGGCTTCCTGGCTGGCCTGCTGCATCCCTTGGCTTGGCTGAGCAGCAAGGTCTGCTCCCTGCCTAAAATGAGCCTCCATCCCACCACATGGCTGAGGACAGGGGATCCCATGAGAGCAGGAGTCTGGGCAGGGAGTCCACGGGGAGAGCTTGAGCCCAGTCCTACCCTGTAGGTTCTTGTTCTCCCTCTTGAGGGTCTCCAGGTTGTCCAGGGACTCCTCATAGGCATTCTTGAGCTTGAAGAGCTCTGTGCTCAGGCTGCGCGACTCCTTCTGCGACGCCTCCAGCTCTGCCTGGGTCTCCTCATACTTCTGCTTCCACTCAGCCAGGATCCTGTCAAAGTTGCGCTGCTTCTTGTCCAGGGCAGCACAGGCTGAGTTGGCGCGTTCCAGGTCCACCGAGAGGTCCTCGATCTCCGTCTGCAGTCGATGCTTGGTCTTCTCCAGCGAGGAGCACTTGGCATGGGCGGCCTCCACCGCCTCCTCTGCCTCCTGCAGCCTGGTGGCCAAAAAACGAGGGGAGTGCTCCCAGCCCATGTCATCCCACCCCACTGCTCCCACAGCCTGCCCAGACAGCCTCACAGCCAGGCTGGAGGGTGCAGCCTCACCCCATCACTGAATGGAAACCTGCCACCTGCAAGGAACTGACTTCTGCCATGAGACTTACTTGGCTTCCTCCAGCTCCTCTGTCCGTTGGATGGCATCTGTCTCGTACTTGGTTCTCCACTGGGCCACTTCTGCATTGGCCTTGGACAAGTTCCTCTGGAGCTCACTCTTGGCCTCCACCTCCTCCTCGTACTGCTCCCGCAGCAGGTCGCAGTCGTGCCGGGAGGCTTGCAGGGCATGGGCCAGGGCGTTCTTGCTCTGAGGAAGGGAAGAGCTAATGAGAGGAGCCGCTGGCCCCAGGATACCAGCCATGGCACCGGGACTTGGGTGGCAGGAGGGAACTCCTGGATTTCCCAGGTTAAGAAGCTGCCCATGTGGCTCTTGTGCAGGGAATGTCCCCACCAAGAATGTGTGCCATGGGGCACATTCCCTGAGATCTGTGCCATGCAGAGATCAGCCATGCCCCAGAAGCCTCACCTTGGTCTCTTCATCCAACTGCCTCTTGAGTTCCTCAATGTTCTGTGTAAATGAGGTCTTGCCACGGCTTAGCTGGTTGATGAAGGACTCTTTCTCCTCCAGCAGCCGGCTGAGCTCCCCTGGGGTCAAACACAGCCAGAACGGCTGCTTTAGGGCTGAAGGGCTGCAACCTGCATTAGCTCACACTCCTGCAGACCCTGCGGCCTTCAGCTGCATGGGGACCTCCAGCTGTATCCCCACCCAACCAACCTGGGACCCATGGGAAGAGATACAAGCAGCTAAAGGCAAAGTGAAAGGAAACCCCTCCTGCTGGTGCCGGAGCTCATAGAATATCCCCCAGCACAACCACCATCACCATGGAGGTCCTTTTCCTTGGCCTTTAGTCAAATTATACAGCAGCTTTCCAAGGCCTGAGTGGAGGCACAACACAGATATCCCACCCCCTGCACTCCAGATGGAGCTCCTGCTGGTTTTGTCTGTGGGAGAAGGGGGACACTGCCTGGCTGGACCTTGTCCCACATGTCCCAGTGCCCCCGGGCAGCCTCGTGTCCCCTGTCACCCACCGTTCTCGGTCTGCAGCCTGCCCCGCTGCGTGCTCACGTCGTTCAGCTGCCGCTGCAGCTCGTCCACTTTGGACTTGGCCTCGTTGAGCTGGTCCTCATAGGTGCGACACAGCTTCTCAGCATTGGCCTGTGTGCCCCAAGCAGAGCCTGTGTGAGACCCAGCCCTGGCCACAGAGCACCATCCACCCCAAAGGGACTTGCAAACATTGCCATAGGGATACAGGGGCAAGTTATACCCAGTTGAAAAGAGGGACTAAATTGGCAAAAAGAAACCCAGAGAGAGGCTTTGGCCAAGGGCCTACAGGGACAGGACAAGGGCAATGGCTTTAATCTGCCAGAGGGGAGACTGAGATGAGCTCTGAGCCAGAAGCTCTTCCCTGGGAGGGTGCTGAGGTGCTGGCAGAGGGTGCCCAGAGAAGCTGTGACTGCCCCATCCCTGGCAGTGTTCAAGGCCAGGTTGGACACAGGGGCTTGGAGCAACCTGCTCTAGTGGAAGGTGTCCCCGTGGAGGTGGATGAGCTTTAAGAACGCCTCCAACCCAAACCAGTCTGGAATTCTGTGAGTCTGTTATGTGGCCATGGCAAAGAATGACCTGGGACAACATCCCGTGGGCATGGCTGTGCTGAACACACCAGTCGCACTGGTGTTCACTGGCCTCTAGAGAACCAGTGCCCACCTTGTTCTTGGTGAGGTACTCAATGTTGGATGACAGGTCATCCACCTCCATCTTCAACTCGCTCTTCTCCTTCTCCAGCTTCTGCTTGACGCGCTGCAGGTTGTCGATCTGCTCGCCCAGCTCGGCCACGCTGTCCGCGTGCTTCTTGCGCAGGGCAGCGGCCGTGGACTCGTGCTGCAGCGTCGCCTCCTCCAGGTCCCGACGCAGCTTCAGGAATTCCGCTTCCCGCTTCTTGTTCATCTCCACCTGACTG